ATACTCGCGACCGAACAACTCGGTTCCGGACACGGCTTAACTTGGACGATTTATCGAAACATACTCAGTTTCGATTATTCGTCAACTGAGATAATTAATTCTGACTGAATAAAATCCATTTCTAAAAATAAATGGACCGGAATTAATAACTGAGATTGAATAGCTGATAACTGGGCTCGGAACTCGAGACGAGCAGTATTAATAAAAAGAAATAGTTCAACTGGGAACTAAAAAACTGTCATTTTTATTAATACAGAACTGGGCTATTACACATATTAACATAAAATTTATCTCATTTGAAAGGTGAAAGATAGATCTATAACTTTCATGAAGAGTATATAGGGGGAAAGAGGATTCCCTTGTCTAATACCCCTTGAAGCAGAAATATATCCTTTAACCCCTCCATTAATGTTAAAAGAATAAGAGGCCGAAGACACACAAGCTAAAACCCACTTCACAAAAGCCCCTATGAAACCCCATTTTTTATAAGATTTTCTTAATACAACCACATTCAACCCTATCGTAAGCCTTTTTCATATCCAGCGCCATGTACCCTCTAGAACCAGAAGAATGCCTATTTAAATAATGAATAGCCTCTTGGACAATGACCACATTATCAAGAGCTGTTGTCTTCCAGACAAGGTTTTAACCTAGCAGACAAGATTTTTGAAATAATTTTATAAGCAACACTATACAGGCTAATTGGTCTGTAGTTTGCAAAAGAAAAAGGATTCAAACACTTAGGGAATAAAGGGATTAAAGTGTGGTTCCGATTCTTATGAAGCCGTGACTTAAAAAACTACCCCCAACAGCACACACATCAAATTTAATCACATCCCAGAAAAGTTTGGAAAAAAATAAGAGACATACCATCTTGCCTAGGGGCTTTACCTGAATCCATGCTGAACAAAGACTCTCCGATGTCTTCTTCTGTGATAAGAGCCACAAGAGCATTATTGTTCATCTCCTCAGAAATGGAATTGGGGATAAGCTACAAAATCTCTGCTAAGCCACTGGATCCTTCAGAGGGGAATAAGGAACCATAAAAAGAGCACACACATTCTTCAATGTCCTTCTTAGGACATCCCTCTCTCATTGATCAGGCATTATATTTCCTTCTTTTCACGTGTTAATGAGCACGAGAAATTGGTTTAGAAAACTCATAGAAACATCTCGACGGAGAAATCTTGGTAATCCTAACACTTCCGTAGAAAAATCTCTCTTAAAAAAAATAATAGTATCCTCTTGTACTTATTGGGAACAAAGGGAGGTGTTTGATATTCTTATCCGTAAACTTGTGAAAAGGGGCTTGTGGTGAGTAGGATATGTGTGGAATAGCTTGGAACTTTGTCTAATTTTGCATGACCTCGAGCCGTGGGAAATATACTTTTAGTTAAAATTTCGACTTTAAGAGTTACCGAGTGGATAAGAGATTTACGCACAAAATGGCATTAAAAAATGAGTTTATTTATCTTTCTTATCGAATGGTGTACAATATTGTTTGATTGAGGACATGAAAATGCTAAGTGTGGAGGAGTTGTATTATAAATTTTTGTGGGCACTTTTGGTGTTTTTATAGTCTTCGTTCGAGTTTATCTTAGCTCGTTGTATAGATTTTTTGGTCCATTAGGTTGATTTTTTTTTTTTTTCTGTTTTTGTGTTATTTTTGTATTTTGCATATTTTTCACCTATTTTTCTATTTATTTTGTAGCATTATGCTATTTGAATAATTTCGTTGGGCGCCCTACGACAAAGCGTTACGTCCATGTATCTGGATAGATTTTCAGAAGCGTAATGGCCATATATCTGGACAGATTTTCAGGAGCGTAACGTCCATGTATATGGGCATATTTTTAAAAGCGTAACGTCCATGTATTTGGATAAATTTTCAGACCCGCTTCAAACTTCTTAAATAGGAACTTGTACGAGATCATGGGGAACACTTTTAAATACAATCATAATAGCCTGGGACCGATACAAAGGCTCTCGAACACCAATGAACCTCTTATAAATGTATATTTTTTATAAATCATGTTCGTTTTCTCTTTTTTGCTCGCCTGAGAGGGGTTCTCGTAGTAGAGGACAAAAATGTAATATTGTTCTTCGCTACATTCGTACGAATGGTAATTAATTTGTTTGTTTATTTCTCTCAAGCATGAGTTAATTATTCAACTTGTGCGCGTTGGATGAATAGTAGAATTAGCAGATTGATTACCGTAGTTCATTTAAATAATTTCAATTCCAAAAGGGTATAGATTATTCGACTGTGGCATGCATAGGGTACACTTGTTCATAAAAGTATTTGATTGAACGAGTTTGTCGTTTATGTGTGTGCTCTTGTTACAAATAGTTATTGAATTTAGACCTCTAAACGTGTATGCTTGTCAAATAACTTAATTGACAAATATGCTTTCAACATAGATTTAGGATTGATGAAAGTATTTCCGATGCCTTAAACATTCTTATATTTCTCCATTTATTTTATTATTTGCTATTCTAATTCTTGGTAGTTTTTAAATAAACTCTCACAAACCCTTTGTAATTGGAATATTTGGGGCTTTATTTTCTTTTCTTGTTGATCGACAATGATTATAGATCCCGAACTGTCTTCCTCGAGAGATCGACCAGAGGTCGGAAATTCATTTCGTACTCGACAAAAATAATTTGCTACAACAATTACATCAGTTATTATTATGATGGGCCAACGTACTCTATAAATTTGAGTGAGGGAACACTTCTGGTGTGTGGTGATTTTCAAACCTAAGACTAGAATGCTAGACATCTTTTTATAATGAATAAATATAAAAAAAATGATATTAATGAAATAATTTGAAAATTATAGACAATCATAAGCTGGTAGAAATTCATTATCTCAAGAAATGACTTATAATTGCATGTAAGGAATTGACAGTGCAACCATAAAGTTGTTGGAGTTTTGCATAATCTTCTTTGCAAGAATATGATTATCTTGGACCAATAGCCCTTTCAACTACACAATTGCACGATTTGTCAATTATTAACTAAACTTGCATTGTACTCAAAAACATGAGAATGCTACCTAATACTTTTTATCTTCTACGTGATACAGTTAGCAAGTATGAAATGATTTGTAAGGTATTTGATATCTATTATATAGTTTTTTGTTCTTCAGAAGTAGTCATGTTTGAGTATCATCAATTAAATTTTTGCTACCTATGAAATATGCTACCTTATAATGAATAGCTTTTAATTTCTCCGGATTGATATGCAATTATTCAAAATTTGGTGTGCTAACTGAAACATTTTCCAACAAAAGTCATGCTAATGATGGTCCAACTAATTTAATTATAGATATATCGGTTGTTATTCAAAATGTTTGATACATTTTGATCTTGCAACCGCGAACAATAAACTACAAAGTAAACAAACATGCTAACAAATATTATTATATATAGGACTAAAAAGAATCATTATTATTTATTAATATTATCACGAAGTTGTTCACAAACACGAATGACGTAGCTTCAAGAAAAGATTAATGGTGTTGGTGTTTGTACCTTCAAGTCTTGGACAAGCAGAGTCACATTGATACAAGGGCACTTTTTGTACTAGCTCGGGAAGAGGCCTTTCTAGAAATAGTGAAATACCAGAGACCTCGAGTCAAAAATAAATAAATAAGTAATTCGGACCAATTATAAATCTAACATTTGCAGGGAATAGCTCCTGATTGATTAAGCCCTCCGATTTACTCAAACTGTAAAATCAAGACTCCACACACACACATATATATATATGTATAGTGACAATTCATCTGTATGCATCCAGGAATGATTAGCTGAAATTTTTGTACACCTGACTAGGAAACTATAAGTGGGTGTATATAAACACATAACATCAAACTATTAAACTCATATCTATACAGCTTACATTTTATAATTTTATGATTTAAACAAAAATGGTGTTGAAGAAGCTGATCAAGTCCCCCACATCAAAATCCCTGATTCTGAGAATCAATCTGATTTTCCTCTCATTCTTCTTGCTTCTATACATAATCCTCCTACTCTGCCCTTCTGCATCCGACTACCACGAGCGAGCTGCATTGTACGTCCGATGCTCATTGCGCGAATGCCGCCATAAGGTAAGGTGAGCTTAAACTATTTTGCATGAATATTTAATTGTGTTTGTCTGTGTTCTCATTAAGATAATTTTGTTTTCTAATATTTTGAAGGAAAACGGGATAAAAATGAAAGCGATGCTGGAAGATGGCAAGAGGCAGGCCAAGTCCCCAAAGAAAACATTGATACTACCGAAATTGTTGGAGGGCGTAATCGGAAAAAGCAGAGTAATTGGGACAGTTGGAATGGAGGGGGAGGAGTTGTCTAGTTGGGGGGTAAGAGTTATTCCGTTCTTGTTCGAGAGAGTCTCAAATATGTTAAAATGGAAGCACATTTTTCCCGAGTGGATAGACGAGGAGGAAGAGTATTCGGGTTGGTCTTGCCCTGAGATACAAATGCCGGATTTTGAAAAAAACAGCAGTTTGGTGGATGTGATTGTGGCCAAGTTGCCGTGTAAGTATCCGGAGGAAGGGTGGAATAGGGATGTGTTTAGGCTTCAAGCGCATCTTGCGGCGGTTAATGTGGCAGTGAAGAGGGGAAGAAGAGATGATGAAGGGAGAGTGAAGGTGGTGGTGTGGAGTTCGTGTATGCCGATGATCGAGCTTTTCCGGTGTGAAGAGAGGGTGGGGAGGGAAGGGGATTGGTGGGAGTATTGGGTTCAGGTGGAGAGGTTGGCTCAAAAAATTGCCATGCCTATGGGCTCTTGTGCTTTGGCTATGCCTTTATGGGATAAAGGTAATTATTTTTGCAATGTGGTTGGTTAATCTAAATTCTGAATGCTTTCTCATCTCAAACATTATGCTAGAACATACACATTTATATACTTTTGACAACAACAGGGATCAATCGAATCTACGACATATCCCCAATTGAAGCGGCTGCCCAAACTCGGGTGAGGCGAGAAGCCTATGCGACTGTCCTCCACTCATCCGAATCGTACGTGTGTGGCGCGATAACTCTAGCCCAGAGTCTACTTAGGAGTGGGACCCACCGAGACCTAATCCTCCTCCTCGACCTCTCCATCTCCGAACCCAAAAGGGCCGCACTCGCCCAGGCCGGCTGGACCCTCCGATTCATCCACCGCATACGAAACCCACGCGCCGAGAAGAACTCCTACAACGAGTACAACTACAGCAAATTCCGACTCTGGCAGCTCACCGACTACGACAAGGTCATCTTCATCGACTCTGACATCATCGTTTTACGCAACCTCGACATCCTTTTCCAGTTCCCCCAGATGTCCGCTACCGGCAACGACGCCTCCATTTTCAATTCGGGAATAATGGTGATAGAGCCTTCGAATTGCACTTTCGATATGCTGATGCAGAAGAGGAAGGAGATTGTCTCGTACAACGGCGGGGACCAAGGCTTCCTGAACGAGGTGTTTGTGTGGTGGCACAGGCTGCCGAGACGGGTCAATTTCCTCAAGAATTTCTGGTCAAACTCGTCAACGGAGGCCGGGGTGAAGAACCAGCTGCTCGGGTCGGACCCTCCGAAGCTGTACTCGATTCACTATTTGGGCCTCAAGCCCTGGAACTGTTACAGAGACTACGACTGCAATTGGGACGTGTGGGACCAACACGTGTACGCTAGTGACGTGGCACACGCAACGTGGTGGAAGTTGCACGATGCAATGGATGCGCGCCTGCAGAGCCTCTGCAATCTCTCCAAAAGGAGGAAGATCGAGCTCCAGTGGGACCGGAAACTGGCTGCCAGAATGGGATTTGCTAATGCTCACTGGAGGATTAATATTACGGACCCCAGAAGATTTGGTTGAAGCATTTTCTTTATCAATTGCTTAATTATGTGTGTGTATACGTACTTACAGATAGATTTTTTTTTTTTTCTTTCTATATGGAGGATTTTTGTTTTTCAGTCACAGAATTTATATGTATGTGTAGGGTAGGGACTGTTTTTATTTTTTACTTTATACTTTTTTATTTTTTGGGTTTCCAAACAGCGCGCAGTTATTGAATAAGCTGTGGATGTATTCTGGAGTCGGGATATACAGTTGCATCTTAATTTATTGTTCTAATGGAGGTTTGTTAATGGTATTAGTTTGGATTGCCCAAGAGTACTTGTACCCTCATCAGTGTGGAAAAAAAAAATAAAAAAATAGAAAAGTTGGTTGGTGTGGGAGTAATTATTAAATCAACTAATTTGATTACCATTATTTACGGAATTGACAGTACACCAACAAATGACGAGATATTAATTATTTTTTTTTTATCGTAAAGTAAATTTATAGAACAAAATTGGTGTTCGAACGACCGACCGACGGCTTATAAAAGTGTAGTGGGCAGCCACAAGCACGGCTCTTCACTCGCATGTCATAAGTCTAGGAGGGCAACTACATGTCGGTTCCTCACTCAAGTCCCAACAAAACAAAAATGCGAAGACCCCAAGTGCGTAGCGGAGCGGCGCTCGGCTCGACGCCCTTCTTCCCCTGCATGTGAGGTGGCTGTTGTAGCAAATTATTTTTATTTACCGAGCACCGAATCGAATGATTTGTTTCCCGAGTCGATCTCTCGAAGAAAACGGTTCGGAATTTAGTATTGGTATCGATAACACATAAAAGCAAAATAAATCCTAAACATACTAATCAAAAGATTGGGTTGGAAAATTATCAACTAAGATATAACAAAGTATGATAATCTACCTAAAAATATGAACGATAAAAAGATAAACGAGCTAGGGTATCGGGAATAATCGCTTCCGGTTCTACACACATTTAACGGCAATCAATAACTCGGTTAAAAGGCTCGACTAATTAACTCATTTAGCGGTTTAACCTCAATACGTCTCCGAACATGCTGATAAACATAAATGAGCGAATTAACGAAACGAGTAACACATAGACAATACGTCTCCGAACATGTCTACTCTAAACGAGCCAAATTCTACCAATTTCTCCCCTCTCGGTTTTGAAATCGATTATCTTTATTACTCCTCCCCTTTCGGTTCTACAAGTCGTAATTTGTAGAATTAACAAACTCTAACTCAACAAATAAATATTCAATCACAAATCAAAGTGTCACTCTTTGATTTTATCAATAAGTTAACCTAAGTGTCACTCTTAGGTTATAACCATTTATCAAGTATGATTTTATCAATTCATGATTAAAACAACTCGTCAAGATTGAGCTATCGTCATGCACGTAAACGAGAACAAACCGAAATGATTATCCCTTAACCCTAGCTAGAGGATTAGCTACTCATAATTGACTTAACACAGCATTCACATTCAATAAAGCCATAATCATCATACACTTAATGAAAATAAAACTTACTAGTAATGTGATTTCCAATGTCAAGAACAAAGCACAAGCCAAATCCAAGATACAACAAGTCTCCAAGTTGCTCCTTCTTACAATATGACAAACCAAAATAAAAACCTAATAGAAAATGGAGAAGAATATAAAGGATGGTGAAGAGGATGGTGTAGAAGGATGATGAAGAGGGGGGAAGAACCCCCCTTGGTTCAAGGATGCATGAATGATGCTTTCCATGATCAAGAGGGCATGTTCTTATAGCCCAAAATCCTTATTTCCAGGTGAGTTTTGTCCCCTAAGTGCTCCACTACCGAGCTTTCCAACTCATGCCATGTTTTGTGGGAAAAAGATGAAGTTTTGTCTGCCTCGTTTGGGCTCGTCCGAACTCGGAATTGAGTTCCGTTTTTTCCTATGTGTCGCTAACGAACTCCTCTATTCAATGATGCTTGATTGGCCAAATTATTCTTGAAATAATATTCTCCCAAATATCTTGACCTACACACTGAACGTGTTTCGCGCGACTTCGCGTTTTGGACCCGTCCGGACTCGTCCGAACTCGAAATTGGATTCCGCTTTTTCCTATGTGTAGCTAAGGAACCCATCTATCCAACCATGATTTCCCGACCCGTTTTTGAGCTAAACTGATTCCTTATGGGGCTTCCGACCGGCACATTGAAAACAAGAAGAAAAGTGTAGAAAAACGACAAAATACACGAAAAACATATAAAAAGCTAAAATAGAACGAAACACACAATAAACTATAAAATGAACTAACAAATAGACCTAAAACGGGGGAAAATGAACGACAAAATAGTACAGAAAAACGTAACAAAAATGGTCACAACAGTGGCCCACATCCACGAGCTCTCAAAAGCCTTTTGCCGAGGGGTTACCTATCATACTCCAAGGGCTTTCCTCTCATATTCAGCAAGGACATTCGGATACAATGCAAAGATTGTACGATAGACATGGGTTTGGATCTTACGGATGACTAGACTCGGAGGTCGAGATTCACCTTCAAAAATCAACCTATTTCTAGCATTCCAAATGAAGTACACGGTTGCGGCAAGCGCCGTTTTCTTCAACTTGGTTTGCCAACTAGCCCCCCTCGAGCCTCCTTCTTAGTCCATTTAAGAGCTCCTTTGAGTGTCAATGGCCTATGACGGAGCTTAACCCACTCTCGAATCACCCCCCCATATTTCCGAGCTAAAGGGGCACTCAAAAAATAGGTGACCCAATGATTCAACACCACCACCACAAAAAGAGCAAGTCGGTCTACATCAAGGAACTCCAACCGGTCCTTTGTACGGAGACGATTGAGCACTCCCAACCAAAGAATGAAAGAGTGTTTGGGGGTATTGCAAGGGCCCCAAACTACCTCCGTCCATTGCACCAATGTACCGCGAAGCCTTAAGAAATCATAACAACTTCGCGACTTGCTTACCTCGTGTGCTCCAACAATGAAGTAGGGCTTCCGCGGCTTGCTCACTACCCGCCTTATCCACCAAGACACGTCGGATCTCGAAGAGATATTTGAAAAGGGGCGAGTCATTCTTGTGTATTTTCCATTCCCACATGGAATTTCCTCCCAAGTAAATGTTGTGGATCCATTTGTACCATAATGTATCCTTCTTGGCTTGCATGTTCCAAAGCGTACGTGCAAGCAATACTTGGTTCCAAGCGCTCAAATCACGAAGACCCAAGCCCCCTTCCAAGCACGGGAGACATAAGTTATCCCAAGCAACGGGAGCATTTTTCTAGCCCCAAAGAAATCGCCTACATAATTGTATAATTTTGGTGCGTACTATAGTAGGCAAGTGAAAAATCCCCAACAAAAAACACTCAATACCTTGGATCACCAAGCGGATGAGCTCCACTCTACCGGCATATGAGAGAGTGTGCCCACTCCATCCGTTAAGTTGTGCCTCGATTTTTTTGACCAAACCATCAAAGATTCTAGCGGTGACTCGCTCCGCGGTGAGAGGGACGCCTAGGTACTCAAAGGGCATTGGACCACATTGCAAGTTGGTGTCATCAAGTATTGTTGCTTGTTTAGCATCTTTTACTCCCGCCAAATAAATATTGGATTTTTGCACATTTATTTCTAGCCCTGATTTGGCCCCAAAGTCTTTGAGGCAATTCATGAGGATTTGTATAGAAGATGGGTCGGCTCGGGAAAGTAGCATAAGATCTTCGGCAAAGGCAAGGTGTGTGATTTTAAGATGCTCACACATAGGGTGGAATTTGAAGTTGGAGCCCTCCACCGTATTGCACTTGATAAGTCTAGAAAGGTATTCAATACAAATCCCAGAAAAGAAAGGTGAAAGGGGGTCACCTTGCCTAAGTCCACGCGTCCCTTTGAAGTGAACTTTGAGGCTCCTATTAATACATAATGAGTAGGCTGGAGTTGTGACGCACTCCATGACCCACCCCATGAAGGCCAAGGGGAAGCCAAGACCCACTAGCACTTGATTCAAGAACGACCAAGAAATTGAATCAAAGGCTTTACAGAGGTCAATTTTGATGGTACATCTTGGGGTAACTCGTTTCCTCATGTATTGACGGATTAATTGTTGCATGAGGTGGATGTTGTCCGAGATACTCCTTCCCTTGACGAAAGCAGCTTGGGCCCAGTCAATGATGGAATTAAGGACTTCACTAACTCTTCGAGCCAAGATCTTGGAGCAAATTTTGTACATCGTGTTGCAACACGCAATTGGTCTAAAGTCCGTCACTAGCAAGGAGTGAGAGGACTTCGGCACAAGCGTAAGAGCGGTGTGATTCCATTGCTTGAGGAGGGAGCCGGAGCAAAAGAATTCTTCAATTGCCGACACTACATCGGCCCCAACAATGGCCCAACTCTTCAAGAAGAAGAATGAGGTATAGTCGTCCGGACCCAGGGATTTTCCACCAGCAATGTCACTTAGGGTGGCCTTGATATCGGCTTCGGTCACCGGAGCAAGAAGCGAACTATGGTGCTCGCCGGCAATGCGCGGTCCCAAATTGAGAACATGGGGGTCCACATTAGGGCCATAAAAGAGCCGAGCCGAGCTCGAGCTTAGGGTGTTCAAGCTCGAGCTTGAGCCCTTAACAAGCCGAGCCGAGCTCGGCTCGTTAAATAAACGAGCTTGAAATCGAGCTCGAGCTCGGCTCCTTAAGGAGCGATTGCCATAATAATTTTCGATCTCCTCTCGAGTGAAGTCCATATATAAAGCTAGCGGCAAAGGAGTGATTACTTACTTTACAATGGACCGTAGCCAAAATGACTTGTGGCATGATGTCCTCCACCGTGAGGTCAACTATCGTAGGGTTCCAAAGAATGGCGATATGCCCACGATCAATAACATCAAAATTATCACAAAAAGCCCAACCCGGCAACCTCCTATTCACAAAGAGACAAAGGCGCCTATCGTCGGTTTTCATCTCCAAAAGACCCAAATCGTCTATATTATTCTTCCGGATGAGGTTGGCAACCTCATCTTGCTTTAGGGGCCCATTGAAACCCCTAAT